TTTTGAAAAGATAAACAAATTTTAAAACCTTTATACCAATGAGAAAAAAAGAAAGAAAAAGAAAAGCAGACATAATGACTGATACCAGAAAGATACACAGAATCACAGGGTTCCTTCATGAACAGTTGGAACCATTGTATACCTATATAGTAGACAACTTAAAAGAAACTGATAAATCTCTGGACATACACATCTACCAAGTACTGAAGAAACTAATGTTGAAGAACAAATCACAAAGAATTAGAAAATGGACCTATGATAGATAATAAGATTGACTCTTGGGGCTGGAAAGATTGCTCAGTGATTAAGAGAACACATGTGAGTAAGCTCACACTCACCAGTGAACTCCAGCTTGAAGGGGTCTAAGGCCCTGTTCTCTCTTCTCCAAGTACCACATACACATGCACACACAAATGAAATTAATTTTTTAATTAATAGTATATGATTAATAATTAAGCAGTCTTCCAGGCTAGGGTCAAATATTTGAAGAACTATTATCAAGTCTATTAAAAATAATTGAGACAGAGGAAGAAGTATTTTAAAACAAAATCTAGGTTTTAAATTGATTTTGTCTGCCTTATGACAACCATATTCTTGTCTCAACTTTCCCCCAAAATTGCATCCCAAAGATTATCTTATCAAACACCTAATTGATACTTCCACTCATTCCCTAATTTTTTTGTGGCATTGATGCCAGTGATCATTTTTTCCCTTAGAAAAATGTGAGTTTCAGTGATGCATTGTTCCCTTGGGTTTCTTTTAACTCATTTTGGATACCCATTTCCATTTCTTCTCATCATCTAAATGTGCATGTTCCTCTGAGATCTCTCTCATTCCCTTCTACCCTCCCTCCCTGCCATGTGTTGGAATATTTTTGGTTTATCCCTATCAGAACTATATGTCATTTGAGTTAATGCAAATCTAGGATGACACTTGTTGTTTTACAGAATGGCAGCATGTTTAACAACACATAGAAGGACCAGAGATTCAGAAAATGCTGCAAATAAGGATCTTGAATTCTTTTTGATGTTGGTTTTTAGGGTTGGTTTTGTTTTGTTTTCTACTGCTGTTGCTGTTTTGTTTGTTTGTTTCTTTGAGACAGGGCTTCTCTGTGTAGGCCTGGCTGTACTGGATCTCTGTAGACCAGGCCTGGTGCTGGGATTAAAGGCATGCACCACCAGGCCTGACTGTGAATTGTTTTTGAAATTATTCTTTGCCCTGGTTTCATATTTTCTGTTGGCATTATTCACCGAAAACAGGCCTTCTTCTGTGGGAAGACGCCAGCGTCGCCATCAACCTCTGTAGCATTGCATCAGCTGCCAGGAGCCTTAAGGAAAAGGAAGGCTTTCTTTCATGTCATGGCACTAGAAACAAGAGACCAAAACACAGAATTGTGTTCCCTGAAGAAAGAGGTAGCAGGAAGTCATAAGCACTACAGTAAACTAGTAGACTAGAAAAAGAGTATTAAATGGTTTACTGATAAAAGGCGTGGGACAGATTGAGTCCTAACTTTGTAACTTTTCTTCATGGAGATTATGCTATCTTTTGCTACCAAAGTAAACTAGGGTTAGACCTTTCCAGAGAGACTAGGAGACAAGTATTTGAAGGTCTCCCCTAACATTGCACTTTAAAGTTGTTGTAGGATACTCAACAGAGAGCACTGCCCAGACATGGGTTTAAGCCAATAAGGAGTCTTTATTAGGTGGCTGGCGACTACAGTGGGTTTTAGGATCCCAGTGTAGCACTGAGCCTTTCTCAGGGTGAGCTTTTAAGCATAGAAACCATGTTCTGGGTTGTCATACTGCAGTTAACAAGAATAGTTAGCCAGAAGCAGAACTATGGAAGCCAAAAGGCAAAGTCAACACATTTGAAGACTTTTTCATAACTATGGATTTAGATGGATTAGGCCTTTGTTTTCCTCTTTGGCAGGTAGTACTGTCTATGTGTTGAGTTTTACAGCCTGAATGGCACTTCCATCATGGAGTCAGTTGTGCTAAGGTCTGGGGTCCTGTTAAAAAGACATGGCTTAAAGAGAGATCTCTGAGTTGTAAAACCAAGAAGAGGCTTTTATACACATTTACACCACAAGGGAGAGAGGAAGTTGGCAGTACACACTTTTAAGGTAAATGTTCCAAGAATGGCTCCAGGACGAAGAAGAACTCTATCCAAGTTTACTCAAAGTGACAGGCATACTAAGGACTTCCTCCTCTATTCTTGTGTGTTCCTTAGACTGCAGAGAGCAAACACTGGGAGTCTAGTAATCTTAGCCTTTGCATGCTACTTTATCTTAAGACAGAAAGTTCAATCTCTCACCCTGCTCTCTTTGCTTCTGACATGGCATTATTTCTCAGAACTTTCAGCCTCTGCTTTAGAGTCATTTGGAATAAGTAACAAACAGTTTCCACAGAAATATTCCCAGAATGGAACCTCCCATGTGTGCCAAATAATTATTTCATATTTCCATGCCCTATCCATCTTCATATTCTACATTTTCAGACTTAGTGTCTCATTTACCACATGTCTCTCTTCATTTTTCTTCTTTTGGAATTCAGGTCTGATGGATCAGAAGACTGGAAGTCCTGCTTGACACCTCTATTTCTTTCAGCCACAAGGAGAATCAATCTGTTGTATCCTTCCCTACTGTCTCCTGCATTAGTTCAGTGCCTTAATCCCCATGAGGCGAGTCTCAGCTACTGCATCACTTCCCCCAAACACTTACTTCTGTCAATTTTAGTGCAATGTTTAAAGTTAAATTTGCATCACATTGAGCTTAAAATCATTCACTGACTTGGCATGGACACTTGGATTCCTTTGTGATTATCTCCAGCCCTACTTTTCATAGCACCTCTCCTTTTTGGTTTTTTTGTTTGTTTGTTTGTTTTTTCAGTAGTTCTCAATCAGACGAGACACTGGGCACTGTTTGGAGATATTTTCTTGGTGTCAAAACAGGGGAAGTACTGCTGGCATGTTGTGTGTAGCTTCTGGGGATTATCTTTACTTAGAGTGCAGAAGAGAACCACCCACAACAGAGACTGAGTTGAGAAGCAATGCTTTATAGGAAGAATGTTAGGAGTCAGAAGAGAAGGCTGGAAAATCTGAGTTTTCTGACTAGGAGTAGAGCAGGACTGTTATACAAATTTAGATGTATTTCAGACATGCTTCTATCACTTTCCCCCACTGAGCTACCTAGAAGGCTATGGGTACAATTAGACAGCAAAAAGTATTAAATAGCATCCCAGTGAAAGTAAGCCTAGATTAATATACACTTCTAAGAAGAACATCTATAACAGATGAAAGAAAAAATATGCTAACATCTCAAAGAAATAATTATAGGCATGAAAAATATTGACACGTGTAAGTAATATTAGCCAGGAATAGGTTTGTAGCAAGTATTTCATAATTTTTTGAGCACATTGTCTTTGAATATTTTACAGAAAATCATGGAAAACTGACAATAAAGCAAATGGATCTCATCTGGGGAAATAGGAACTGTGTTAGGATATGATGGATTATTTCCAATGGATATTGATTTATTGACTATATATATATATGTATATATACTCATTTTATGATCCTCGATGCCTAATATGATTGCTTTTCAGATTCTCCATTAAATCGGTTGTGCTATCTCCTGACTTGATAGCTATCTAAAAATTAAAACCATTTTTAAAAGTTGCCACCTGCCAACGACCACTGAAATTTGAATGGTAAAGCTGTGAAGAGAATACAGGCTCTTCCTCCATGACTCTATACACCCACATTCATTGCTTGAATAAACACTTCCTTGCTTTGCAGTTTGGACAGTAGTAAGAATTGAATCTAATCCCTCATGCATGCTAAGCCAGCTTTCTACAATGAACCCTGGGACCAGTCCTTAACTGTGACTTGCAGTACAAATAATAAAAACCCAGAGACAGATATTGGGGTTCAAGTTGAAGACCAGAAAAGCAAAGCAGCCAACCACTCTGCCTCAGACTGAAAGGGTGATCCTATCTCCACAAATCCTCAACATGGCTGGAGACTGAGTGCCAGGTCTGAGATTCTGCTCCTGACTTATATGCCTGGGATTAAAGGTGTGAGCTCTGTTTTTCTTTTAGACTCTCATGTAGCCCTGGGTGGCCTTGAACTCACAGAAATCCATCATCTTCTGTCTGCTGAGTCCTGGGATTAAAGGTGTGCACCACCACCACTCAGCTTCTATGGCTAACTAGTATGGCTGCTGGGATTAAAGGTGTGTACCACCACTTCCTGATCTCTATGACTGTGGCTAGATTTGCATTCTGGTCTCCAGGTCAGCTTTAATAAATCATAAACAATATATCACCACACTGACTTAATTATTTATATAAATACACATATATTTACATACTTAAACATATATACATACACATACACATGTGTACACATATATACACACAAACATGCACACATACACACTCGTACATACATGCACACACACATACACACATATATACATACATATACACACACATATACACACATACATGCATACACACACTATACACACATGTACAAACATACATACACACACATCTATACATACACATGCATACACACACACACACACACATATATCTCCCACCAAGGAGTCTAACTCCCAGAAACGTCTCATAAAATGTAACTTTCATTCTATTTTGTAAAATAAGTTTTCAAAAGTTGCATTTAATAAATAATAGTTACAGAGATTTTCCTGAGTTGAAGTTATATTTCTAAGTAGCCTAAAGTTGAGCCTTAGACCAGATTAAGTCAGGCCATCAGAGAGGTCCTGTGTTCTGCTCAATCATGACATTGTTTTATTGAATTATTCCACAGCCTGTTGTATTAGTGACCTTTTCCATTGCTGTAAGGAAAATACCTAACAATAGCAACTGAAGAAAGGAAGGGTTAACTGATTCACAGTTCTAGAATGTGGTCCATTGTGGCAGAGAAGGCATGGCAACAGGAGCATGAGACAGCTGGTCAGATGGCACCCACAGTCAGTAAGCAGAGAAGAATGAATGTTCATATGCAGTTCTCTTTTATTCAGGCTAATATCCCAGCCCATAATATGGTACCATCCACATTCAGTGTAGGTCTTCCTCTTCAGTTAAATCTTTCAGGAAATACCCTCATAGACATACCTAGAGATGCATTTCCATGGTTATTCTAAATTCAGTCAAGTTGACACTTTGATTAACCAAAACACTTGTATCAACATGCTATCAGAAGTACAGTTCATTGCTATATTCATTATCGTCATTAGAGTGCATTCTATGTTATCATTCATTACTCTGTGTCAAAAGTGTGTCTACAAAATGAAGAAAGCCTCAGTATTAGCTTAGAGAAATCTTGTGTTCTCCTGAGCTATTGTTTAATATTTACATGAAACATAGTCAAGATTAGTTAACCTTGATTTCCTCTGATGTGTAATTGCTAGGAAGCCTGGAGTAGTATTCTGGCTTATGTACCACAATGCATAGAAAATATCACCACAAATATTGTGCACCAAGCTTATCATGTTGTTTCTTATTTGTTTACATGTCTGATGATGTTATAATGCAAACAGTTTTGATGCGTTGATCAAGTTACTTTAGCACTCTTCACATGCATCTTCATTTGTAAGGTAAGTTGAATTTCAAACCACTTAGTTCCCTTCTGAACTTAGTAGTCTGCTACTCTATTAACTTGATTATGTACTTTGCGGAGGTGAAAGATATCTCCACGTCTTCTCACCACTGTATCAAAGTTCAGGGTCACCTTTGCACTTGACTTCACAGGGTTATTCAAATGCACTTGGGGATTTTCTTTTCCAAAGACAGAAAGAGTCGAGACCAGCTTGGCTGTATGTTTTGTAGTTAAAAATTACATTTCAACTTATTGAGAAAGCTGACAGGGTGGTGGAACAGCCTATCCATAGTCTCTTGGCTCATTTCAAACCTTTGCACTCTGTTGCTGTTAGAATAGCCTTTCAAAGTTTTGAAAATTACATCCCTTTTTGCTCACACTGTGCCCCAGGGACATTTTCAAGCTGTTTTGCTTGAAGGATGTAGAAGTTTTACCACTGCACTTAGCCTGTCAGTTCTGAGTTCTGACATTGGCTTCTGATCCAGGAAAAATTGTGTGCACATCTTCTTGTCCTGTTCGTACTCCATAGCTTTGGCATGTATTTCCCTTAGAATCAGTCCCCTGTTAATGACAGATGAGGTTAATTTCAAAATAATGTACCTAAATTTCACATTCATAAGCCTCATTTTTTCACACTTCAGAGTTACATGTCCTATTAGTATTTTTTGTATGTTATATTTGCATCACTATGACAAAAAATAATTCAGAGGAAGAAATATTTGTTGTGGCATATGATTTCAGTGAGGTTTAGTGTCTGTAGCCAGCTTCTTACCTGACAGTCTGCCTCACAGCAGTGGGAGCATACAGCAGAGGCTCTTAACACCATATAGGAACAGGCCAGAACATGGCAGGAACTAAGGGCGAGCTTTTAACCCCCAATGGTCTGCCCTGAGTAACCTGCTTCAGTCAGCTAGGGACAACCTCTATAAAGTACCACAGTCTCCGAAAAGGGTGCCATCAGCTTGGAGACAACCTCAAAACATGAACTTTTGTGGGGATATTTTACATTCAAACCATGATATGTGGGATTTGGAGAGCACTCATAGATGTGAAGTCTTGAAGAAGGTGCATTGCCCATTATTGACTGAAAAACTACTTACTGAATGTCTAGTCTGAGATGAGCCTTTTACAAGGCACTGGGAGTGCCAAGAACAAAATGAGCTTCCCAGAGTTTGTAATTGAGCACTCTCCTGAAGGGCATGGGACAAGGTCGCCAGTGTTATGGCGGAGGTAAGTGCATGCGAGTGAACAAGCACACACAAAGACACGTGAGTAAAGGAGCAAGATGCACCTTGTGTAGGCACCAGACGAGAAACAGAAGCGCTATTGAAATATTGTTGGAATTAATCTGGAATCTTAGCCCATGTTAACCTATTCATTTCATCTTACATTACAGGCAGACTCTAAAGTGGTGCTGTTGCTAATGATTAGAAATAAAAACAAACAGAAATAAACACCTGCCCTTCCTAGAGCAGGGCCAGTTCTGTTGAGTAGTTTGACTGCAAGTGACATTTCCCCATGCAATGCAAGCTGAGTCCTCCATTCTAAACATAAAACTGGATATCGTACCTCACATTTTGCCAGCTGTCCTGGGTTGTGATGGAATCTGGGGGGCATTTGATTGAACAAATGAAAACAGCCTCTGGGATTACATTAATTAAAAATGTACTGGCAAAACCTTCGGAACAGACCCCTCTGATAAGACGTGAGTTACAGATCTGGTGGAAATGAACACGAGGCCTGTGGCCTTCCTTAGTGACTCCATGTGGCCACTGAATGTTACTTTCCTGCCCTTGTCCTCAGTTCTCCTTGTAGACTGACTCCCTCCACAAAGCTGTCGAGTTCTGCTCCACAATCGCTTTACCTTTTACCTGTGTTCTAACTCCACATGATATCGAACTTAGTTTCTTAACACGAACTAAGACTATTTAAATCTATGGTGATCATATGAGTCCTTTCCCAGCTCATTATAAAATGGATGCAGCTATAATTTTGTACCAGTAGTTACAGTCTCACAACTACAAGAGGGAAACGATGCTTTCCTCAATTCCCCACAGGCAAATGATGCTGTAGTATGGTTTTGTGTCTATGGTAACCATTGGCTTTGAAGTTGCTGTGTTTAGAAATATTTAAAAGCTTGCTTTATTATTCTATAATTAATAATTGGACCTCTATGGCAATGGTAACAAGGAATAATGAATATGCTAAATTCTGTGTGAAACCTTTTATGAGTGATAATAAGATGAAATAGAAATAATAAGTAATTGTGCTAAAAAAAGGAAAGCAAATGGTAGAAAGGTACAATCTAATTCAGATGGAAAAGAAAGTTTATTAACATGATAATATTCTGCCAAGAGAATATTTTGTATAACTTAATTTGATATTAGCTTCCTTGGAAACTGATCTCGTTAAAATCATGTAACTAAAATGAGAGACGGTCACTGGGTTCTATGGTTTCATTCATTTATCCCATGCTATCCAGCCCTATCTCTTTTCTGTTCATTAAAATTTTTTGATGCATGGTTGACTAGGTTTGCAGTATTAGCCGTGAATTTTCTCTTTTAGCCCACTGTTGGCTATTCCAAAAATAAAGCAAACAGTATTGCACCATTAGGGATAGCATGCATGGCACTAGTGAGATTTCCAGAGATCTACAAGGATGGTACCAACTGGCAAACTAAACAATAGTGGAAAGACTACCTTAAATGCCCACCTCTTGTAACAAGTTTGACGACTACCTTATATGCCATCCTAGAACCTTCATCCAGTGACTGATGGAAGCCAAGGCAGACACCCAAAGCTAAATAGTGAACTGAACTCCTGGAACCCAGTTACAGAGAGTTCCCCCTCTAAATTCCAAAATTCCGCGGCTCCCTCTCCCCTCCACACATGGTCCCAATCTGCTCAGGAGATCTTGACTAATTCTCCTTCTCTGGGATACAATGCATATCTATCTCTTGTGTCTTCTTTAATTTCTTTCTTTAATGGCTCAAAGTTCTTGTGATACAGCTCTTTCACTTGTTTGGTTAGCATTACCCCAAGATATTTTATGTTGTTTGTGGCAATTGTAAAGGGTGATGTTTCTCTGATTTCTTGCTCAGCCCTTTTATCATCTGTATATAGTAGGACTATTGATTTTCTTGAGTTGATCTTGCATCCTGCCACTTTGCTGAAGGTATTTATCAGCTGTAGGAGTTCCCTGGTAGAGTTTTTCAGGTCATTATCATATCATCTGCAAATGGTGAAAGTTTGACATCTTTTCGAATTTGTATTGCTTGATCTCCTTTTGTTGTCTTATTGTTCTGGCTAGAACTGCAAGTACAATATTGAAGAGGTATGGAGAGAGTGGACAGCCTTGTCTTGTTCCTAATTTTAGAGGAATTGCTCTGAGATTCTCTCCATTTAGCTTGATGCTGGCAGTTAGTTTGTTGTATATAGCTTTTATTATATCTAGGTATGTTCCTGTTATCCCTGATCTCTCCAAGACCTTTATCATGAAGGGGTGTTGGATTTTGTCAGAGGCTTTTTCAGATGATCATGTGATTTTTGTTTCTCAACTTGTTTATATGGTGGATTACATTGATGGACTTTCATATGTTGAACCATCCCTGCATCCGTGATGAAACCTACTTGATCATGGTGGGTGAGTTTTCTGATGTGTTCTTGGATCCGATTTGCCAGTATTTTATTGAATATTTTTGCATCAATGTTCATGAGGGATATTGGTTTGAAGTTCTCCTTCTTAGTTGTGTCTTTGTGTGGCTTGGATATCAAGGTTACTGAAGCCTCGTAAAAAGAATTAGGCAAAGACCCTTCTGCTTCTATTGCGTGGAATTCTTTGAGGAGAATTGGTATAAGCTTTTCTTTGAATTTCTGGTAGAATTCTACACTGAGGCCATCTGGCCCTGGGCTTTTTTTTTAGTTGGGAGACTTTTGATGACGGTTTCTATTTCTATAGGGGTTATAGGTCTATTTAAATTGCCTATCTGTTCTTGATTTAATTTTGGCAGGTGATATCTATCCAGAAAGTTGTTCATTTCCTTTAAATTTTCAAATTTTGTGGAGTACAGGTTTTCAAAATATGACCTGATGATTCGCTGGATTTCCTCAGTGTCTGTTGTTATGTCCCCGTTTTCATTTCTGATTTTGTTAATTTGCATGTTCACATTCTGCTGTTTGGTGAGTTTGGATAAAGGTTTGTCTATCTTGTTGATTTTCTCAAAGAACCAAGTCTTCGTTACATTGATTCTTTGTATCGTTTTCTGCTTTATTGAGTTCAGCCCTCAATTTGAATATGCCCTGGCTTCTACTCCTCCTGGATGAGTTTGCTTCTTTTTGTTCTAGAGTTTTCAATTGTGTTGTTAATTCTCTGGTGTGACTACTTTCCAGTTTCTTCATGTGGGCACTTAGTGCTATGAAATTTCCTCTTAGCTCTGCTTTCAAAGTGTCCCATAAATTTGGGTATGTTGTGTCTTCATTTTCATTGAATTCTAGGAAGTCTTTAATTTCTTTTTTTATTTCTTCTGTGACCCAGGAGTGGTGCAATTGTGCATTATCCAATTTCCATGAGTTTTTAGGGTTTCTGATATTTGTATTGTTGTTGAATTCTAACTTTAAAGCATAGTGATCTGATAAGATACATGGAGTTATTCCAATTTTTTTTATACCTGTTGAGGTTTGATATGTTGCCAAATATGTGGAGCTGAGAAGAAGGTATATTCTTTTGTGTTTGGATGGAATGTTCTATAGATGTCAGTCAACCCCAATTGGGTCATAACTTCTATTAGTTCCTTTGTTTCTTTGTTAAGTTTCTGTCTGGTAGTCCTGTCCGGTGGTGAGAGTGGACTGTTGAAGTCTCCCACTATAATTGTGTGAGGTTTTATGTGTGGTTTGAGTTTTAGTAATGTCTCTTTTACGGATGTAGATGCCTTTGTGTTTGGAGCATAGATGTTCAGAATCGAGACTTCATCCTGGTGGATTTCTCCTGTGGTGAATATGAAATGACCTTATTCATCTCTTTTTATTGATTCAGTTTAAATCTAATTTGTTAGACATTAGGATTGCTACCCTCACTTGTTTCTTGGGTCCATTTGATTGGAAAACCTTTTCCCAACCCTTATCTCTGAGGTAGCATCTGTCTTTAAAGCTGAGGTGTGTTTCTTCTATGCAACAGAAGCATGGATTCCGTCTTCGAATCCATTTTGTTAGCCTGTGCCTTTTTATGGCAAGTTAAGACCATTAATACTGAGGGGTATTAATGACCTTTGATTGTTCATTCTTGTTTTGTAACGGTTGATGGGGGTGGAATTGTGTGTGGATTTCCACCCCTTTTCTCTTTTGGCTGTTGGTAAAGTGGGATTATCTACTGCCTATGTTTGTCTGGTTGTAGCTAACTTCCTTGGGTTGGAGTTTACCATTTAGAACTTTCTGTAGGGCTGTGTTAGTGGATATATATTGTTTAAATCTGGTGGTTTTGTCATGGATATCTTGTTTTCTCCATCTATAGTGATTGAAAGCTTTGCTGGGTATAGTAGTCTTGGCTGGCATCCTTGGTCCCTTAGTGTTGATAGAATATCTATCCAGAAGCATCTGGCTTTCAGAGTTTCCATGGAGAAGTCAGGTGTAATTCTGATAGGTTTGCCTTTATATGTTATTTGGCCTTTTCTTAGCTGCTCTAAGTATTCTTTCTTTATTCTGTATGCTTGGGGTCTTGATTATTATGCAGCGAGGGGACTTTTTTGTGGTCTACTCTATTTGGTGTTCTGTAACCTTCTTGTACTTTCAATGACATGTCTTTCTTTAGGTTGTAAAGTTTTCTTCTATGATTTTGTTGAATATGTTTTCTGCCCCTTTGAGTTGGGTTTCTTCACCTTCTTCTATACCTATTATTCTTAGGTTTGGTCTTTTCATGGTGTCCCATATTTCCTGAATGTTTTGTCTTGGGATTTGTTGGAGTTAAGATTTTCTTTGGTCGACGAATCTATTTCTCCTAGTGTGTCTTCAGCACCTGAGATTCTCTCTTCGATCTCTTGTATTATGTTGTTTATGCTTGCATCTGTAGTACCTGACTTTTCCCCAGTTTTTCTATTTCAAGCATTCCTTCAGACTGTGTTTTTTTTATTGTCTCCATGTCAGCTTTCAACCCTTGCACTGTTTGAATTGTTTCTTGTAATTTTTGCTTCATGCTTTCCTCCCTTTCTTGCATTTGTTGGACTTTTTTGGTATATTTTTTCTTCTATTTCTTTAAGGGATTTTCTCATATCCCCTTTGAGGGTCTCTATCATTTTCATGAAAGTGTTTTTAAGGTCATTCCCTTCTGCTTCATCTACACTGGGGTGATCATGTCTTGCTGGTGTAGAATCTCTAGACTCTGTTGGTATCATATTTGTTTTTTGGTTGCTGAGTGCCTTCTTATATTGCTTCTTTCCTATCACTTCTTACAGTGTGTGTAGAAAGAGCCTCTTCCTCTCCTGGTGGGTAGGTGACCAGGGTTCCCTTTCAGTGGATGCAAGCAAATCCAATACTCTCTTGCCTCTGCTCTCTGCTCTCTGTCCTCTGTCCTCTGTCCTGAGTGCCAACAGAAGTGGACTTGCTCTCTCTGCAGGCTCCTAGTCACTTGATCCTTGGTTGTCTCTCTGGGGTGAGTAGACCTGGCTATGCTCCCCAAGTCAGGGGATCCAAGAAAGGATGAGCAGGAGAGATTCGGGTCTAAGATGGGGACCCAGAGCTTGCCTCTGCCCTCTGCTGAGTTTCAAACTTTTAAGTCAGAAGTTGTTCAAACAAAATTTTATCAAAGTTGTTAATATATAAGGTTCATTTAATGCATAAAACCCAGGAGTTCCATCTACTTGATCTTATCTCACAGTTTAGAGAGACTAAGAAACACATTAATTTCTAATTTACAGACAAATGGACAGAACTAGGAAAAAAAATCCTGAGTGGGATAACCCACACCCAGAAAGACAAAATATAATAAAGAGAAAACTAACCAACATAGGACTTTTGGGGGAGGGCCTAGGCCCTGCCCTGAATGAACTGACAGACTCTGAAGATCTCCAATGGAGGGCCTCAACCTCCCTAGGGAACAGAGTGGGGATTGGGTGGGGGGGCTGGGAGACCTGGTGGGAGGGGAATGGGAGAGGGGGAGGGAGAAGGAGCTGGGATTGACATATGAAGCAAGCTTGTTTCTAATTTTAAAAAAAATGTCTTGGCATGCAAATGGACTTTGGGTGCCCATCCCACAATGAGAGATGCTCTCTTAGCCTGGACTCTTGGGGGGAGGGCCTAGGCCCTGCCCTAGATGAGATGATAGACTATGGATATCCCCCATGGAGGACCTCACCTTCTGTGGGGATTGGGGGAGGAAGTAGGGGGGTTGGTGGGAAGATGGGAGGGAAAGGGATAGGGAGCTGGGATTGACATGTGAAGCAACTTTGTTTCTGGTTTACATTTAAAAATAAAATAAGAAAACATTAAATTGTTGAACAATCACAGTTTTACTATGTTAAGATGGATGTTCAATATAAATCAAGTGTGATAAAATAATTCTAAAATAATAACAAAAAAATAACCAGCATACGGTCCACAACCACAGAGAACCTAAGTAACAAAGAGGGTATTAAGAGAGACATACATGGATCCACCTAGGAAGGGGAAAAAAGACAAGATATCCTGAATAAATTGGGAGCATGGGGGAATGGGGGATGGTGGAGAGGGAGAGGGGAGGAGGGAAGAGAAGTAGGGAAAAATATATAGTTCAATGAAAACAAGTTCAAAAAACAAACACCTAAATCTCTGTCCATAGGGTAAAGTATGGATAGATTTGGGAGTAGGAAATTAAATATCTATAAAATACTTTCTTTAATGTGACATAAAACAGATGCACAAAGTCAGATTCAAGAAAGAAAAACCCACACTCACATTTAGAGTGATGATACGGAATAAAAACCAGGCCTTCTTGTAGATGGCTTTTTCATTGGACTACCAGCTCATACACACACACACACACACACACACACACACACACACACACACACACACACACACACGACACAGAGACTTACTATTAATTACCAAAGCTTGGCCTATAGCTTAGAACCGTCCCACTAGCTGTTATAACGTGAATTAGCCCATTTATATTAACCTATGTTATTATTCGTGTGTTTTTACTTCTTTTCCATCTTGCACCCCCTGTTTCCTCTCCATGTCTTTTGACATCTCTCTCACACCTAGATTCATCTCCTCTACCTCTCTCTCTGCCTGGAAGTCCCAACTAACCTCTTCCTGCCTAGTTATTGACCATTCAGCTCTTTATTAAACCAATCAGAAGGCACCTTGGCAAAGACACACCTTCACAGTGTGCAAGAGAATTACTCCACAATATTTTCTTCTCCCACGATAGTCTTCAGGCCCCTTCTCCGTTTTAATTACTGATATGTAAATCATTTGACAGTCATGACATCGCATTGCTATATTTATTATTTTTAAATGTAGACTTACAGATTTACTATAAACTATGAATCTAACAATTACTTCTGATTTCCAGGTGCTATCAGACTGAAGGCATGTCTACCTTGGTGACAACAGAGCCATGTTCCAGGTCTTGAGGGAGCATGTCGTTTCCAAGTCAGAGAACAAGAAGATGGTTCCACAGAAGGGAAGGATGAGTGGGAAAGAGAAAAGCTGAAGTGAACTGCATGCTCTTCATAGTTCAGTGATGCTTCGGCCATGTTTTTATCAGTCTGGTCTGTTCAAACCCTTACAGAAGATGACATCACAGAGAAACTTTAAGATCAAAATAAGCTTACTATGCTTTAAATCAGATTTGGGAGGTGTATTTTTAAAACTTGATCATGTATATCTTTTCGTTATCATCTATTTCTGTCTATTCCTTCAGTATGAGCACTTTGTTTCCTGAGTAATTTGTTTTTCATTTCTGTGTTTGTATATCAATTGAGATAATATGGGCATGACTTCTCATACTGACAAAGATATTACCGGTTCCTGGTCATTTTCTGTTTGTTTTTCATGTTTCATCCATTTCCCACAGAAAGATAGTAACATCTAAATCATTCATTAATTTAAGCTGCAAACTACATTGTTGCTTTTTGATGAAAATTATCTCTGGACTCTGGCTTCATCATTAAGAGGAATAAAGTAGGTAGGGGAGTTTCTTGCTAATAGCTAGTAAAGCTAAAATTTATTTGTGCAAAATGATTTGGGGCCAGAGTAGATCTTAAGAGTAAGATAGCTATTGCCTGTCCTGGGTCTTAAACAAGAACATTGGTAGTTAACTTACCAGGAACGGAACAAATGGCTGGTCAGCATTACCCTGATTTTGGACATTTAAAGCTTGGTACATCTTGTTTGTTGAACAGAGGGACCACTTAACTCTAATAGCTGTTTTCAGGGTCAAATTTATTTTAAACTTTCAGCCATAAAAAAATACTGGAAACAAATGCTCTCAAAGCAAGGGTATTCTAATGTGAACAGGATAAGAAATGAGGTGTTCATTAGACTCGGGCCGCTAGGCAACCAGAATGTTGAGCCCAGTATGAAGAGTTCCTGACAGATGGTATTAGAGAGACTTGCCACTATCTGACTAAACCTCCATGAGTTCTTCAGGAAGTGAAGCTCTTGACATATTTTAATATCAAATATTTGGGTGCTGTCATAATTCTGCATTATTAGAATATCTATATGCTATATTCATCTTTTTAAAATGTAAAGTTTAATGTTTATAACATGCCCAACATTGCCCAAATATCACCACAAGAGAAAATTAGAATATTTTCTAATCTTCTCCCACCAAAATAAATTCCATAGTCCACTTGCCTCTTGCCCATTCTCTCAGCAATCACTAATCTTTCTCTTCCTCTAGATTTCTATATATTTGCCTATTCTGGATAATTTATCTAATTTAAATGATAGAACATTTAATTTTGTGACCAGTTTCTTTGATTTAATATAATGTTTTCAATATTCATCTATGCTGCTGGGTGGTACTAGTGCACTCCTTTAATGCCAGCACTCAGGACGAACTCTGAGTTTGAGCCCTCTTTAGAACTTGGTCTAAAGAGCAAGTTCCAGGACAGCTAGTGCTACACAGAGAAATCCTTCTAAAAAAACAAACAACAAGAAGAAGATTTATCTTTGCTATATCATGATGGATTCATTGTTATATAGTCCAATAATATTCCATTATAGTGATCTAGCACATTCTATAAGTACACTCAAAATAGATAGCTATCTTGGCTATATTTTCCTTTATCTTTCATTAATAATGTTGGTATAAATAGTTACCCTTGGATTTCCTTGGATACTTTATCTATTCTTTCAGTTGCATAGTTGTATGTGTGTCAACTGGGTCATATGGTAACTCTATATTTTAAAAACTTTTCTTAAATGGTCTGAACCAGTTTATATTCCCAACATTTATGTAAGAGGATGTCAATCTCACCATATCCTCATCAACATATTATTGTTACAGTCATCGAAGGATGTGTGAAGCTCTTTAGTTTGGGTTTTTGTATAGCTCCTTAGGAGAAATGTCTATTCAAGAACTTGACTTATTTTTTACCTTGGATTTTTGCATTTTATTGAGTTTTTAAGAGTTTTTATACATTTGGAATATTAGGCCTGTATCAGTTATGTGACTTACAGGATCTTCTTTCATTCTGTAAGGCATCCTTTTGTTTGGTTTAGTTAACATTTATTTCTTTTTGGTGATACAGGGTTTTGCCCTATGGTGCAGGTTGTCCTAAAACTAGACTTTGTTGTAAAGTCCAGATAATCTCTCACTTCTGGCTTCTGGGTTCGATGTATTTTGACCATGGTTCTGGTGAAACTGGATAGCTACACATAAAAGGTTAAACTGAATCCTTCCTTCTCCAGCTGAACAAAGCTCAATTCTAAATGGATCAAGAACCTCAATATAAGACCTGATACTCTGAGTCTGTTAAAGGAGAAAGTAGGAGATATGCTTGGAACCCACTGGAACAGGAAGTGACTCTCTAACCAGAACCTTAAGAGCACAGGCATTAAGACTAACAATTAATAAACGTAATCTCATGAAGTTGTACAACAAACAACACCATTGCTGAAGTCAGGAGGCAGCATACAGAACAGGAAGGAAATTTCAGCAGTTATATATCTGAGAGAGCGTTGATGTGTAGAATATACAAGAACTAAACATCAAGAAAACAAACAACCCAAGGAAAAAATGTGGCATGAAAATACAAATTAAAGCTATAAATGTAAACAGACATATACAGTAATTACATTAAATGTAAACAAAGTAATTAATTTAAAACATTAAAATTCAATAACAACCCAGAAGGCCACAGTCATCCTGGTATTCATATCCATCATTTCACTGCCCACTGGAACCAAGGAGGCACCTTGGAGGAAATAATGACCCCACCCTGGAGCCAGAAGACAAAAAGACACTCTGAGAATCCTAGGTCCCATCCATAGGACCAAAGCAACAGGAGTGACTCCCACTAGCCAAGTTTGAGCTGATTTCAACATTAAGAATTACCACGAACAATTTTAATATGCTGAGTGAAGAAAAATAAACTAATTTATACACAAAAGGAAAAAGAAAGTTTCAAATTCTGTAGAGGATGGGACTGTACCTGTGGAGTGCTAGTGAAGTGTACATGGGACTTTGTGTCCCATGACCTTGTGTCATGGGGGAAAGAACTACAAGGGTAGTTGAACGCTCATACTAATATAGAAATAAAAACTGATTTTTATTTTTTGTTTTACCATTGTGTCTTAGGATTTCTATTACTATGTAGAGACACCACGACCACCACAACTTTTTTCTTGTTTTGTTTTGTTTTTAGACAGAGTTTCTCTGTGTAACTTTAGAGTCTGTCCTAGAACTCACTCTGTAGACCAAGCTGGCCTCAAGGTCACAGAGATCTACTTGCCTCTACCTTCCAAGTGCCTGGACTAAAGATGTGCTCCACTACTGCCCAGCACCACAACTCTTATAAAGTAAACACATTTAATTGGGGCTGACTTACATCTCCAGAGGTCCAGTCCATTATCATCTTGATAGAACATGGCAGTGTTCAGGCAGACATGGTGCTGGAGAGGTAGCTGAGAGTGCTACATCTTGTATAGATAACAGGAAATGATCCGTCACACTAGGAGCAGCTTGAGCATATATGAGATCTCAAAGCCTGCCTCCACAGTGACACATTTTCTCCAACAAGACACACCTATTCCAACAAGGCCACACCTCCTACTAGTGCCACTCTCTACCTTTGGGGACTACCATATTCTGCAAATGTGCTAATTTCTTAATTATCTCTAATATAGCTGCAGTAGTTTTTAGGCAAAAGTCTATGTATTGGTGTATAACATAAAGGGAAAAACACTATTCACTTACCAGTGAATCCAAAAGCCGTTTTCATTTTCCTGTGGATGCATTTTCCAACCCAGTATGGAATGAAACTTTAAAAATAACAGTCATGCATTACATATTCTCCTCTGGAGGCTTTATGTTTCAGAAATTTTACTAAAATTAAAGTACAAGGATAGTGATTTATATTGTGATCTATGTATCATTATTGAAATTAATACAACTTTATAAAAGTATTAATAGTAAATTTTTTTTATCTTTCAAAGTTTCAATGAAACAAGTTTGAATATGCTTGAATTAAACTTGGCATTCCTTCTCACAATGAGAACAATGGACATTTGTGTTTTGTTTCTTAATGTAGTAGCTATATTTATATCAAGCTATTATTCTTTTTTTGTCACTTCAAATTGGAATCCATATCCCCAGATACCTAAGAACATGCTCAGTTTTATTGCTGGACAATATTTGTCTATTCACTTCTCTTAATCCCAGAACAATATGCCTGTTATAAGAAGTAAAGTAGGTGAGGTGCTGTCCCAGAGATTGTGTGAGAATCACCTTTTTAAAAACGTTTTATTAATTCTTTGTGGATTTCACATCCTCATCCATTCATATCCCTGTTCCTTTCTATCTGTCCTCTGCCTCGCTACCTTGCATAGCTCACCCTATGCAGCAAGGAGCAAGGGGCCAGCTAGTTCTTCCGTTCTCACATTGTCTGCCAGCCGGCTTACCTACACCCACACCTCCAGGGCCAGCTCTCCTGTGTTGCCTAGGTGAAGTACGGAAGCCGCTCTCTCCAGTGCTGTAGCTGATGAGGGCAAGACCAGTTCTCCGACTCTCGTGCTCCCAGGGCAGCTAGCCCATCAGCCACGGGTGGCGAGGGGCTATGGGGAAGATATCTTCTCCTCGCCCGTGCCACCACCTGACAGATGGGTGGCCTCTCCTGCCCTCAGGACTGGGCCACCCATTCCCCGACCAGTAGGGTCACTTCTACTGTTCTGCCCAAGTGAGGTGCAGGGCCCAATGACCTGAGTGCTGCAGCCAGAGAGGGGCAAGCCTAGCTCTCCCACTCTCATGACCTTGGGGTCAGCTCTCCCACATGCCACGGGCCCTGAGGGGTTGGGATGGGGTGTGAGAATCACTTTTATCCGTTTTTAAGTTGCACTTTACTAATGTTGGTAATACTTTACTTCATGGGATTTCTAAAAAGTGAGCTACATATCACTACCAGCACTCCCATTAATTATCAACGATCCCCAGCCTACAAATTTTCTACTTTAATGATTTTTTTTCTATGATGTGGTACAAAAAAAAAAGCATCTATGGACGCCATACCTTTCATTTTGAAATACTACCATTTCTAAGGCCAATAAAATGTAGTGTCTCTAGTTGCCAAAAGTTACACATTGAAGAAAAGGGGGCATCTTCAACCAATGGTACTAAGAAGACTGCATCCTCCTAGAGCCTTCATCCAGTAGATGATGAAGCAGAAGCAGAGAACCAGCTAAGCACTGAGCCGAACTCCTGGATGCAGTTGCAGAGAGGGAGAAGTAATGAGCAAAGGGGTCAAGACCAGGCTGGGAAAACCCACAGAAACACCCAACATGAACAAGGGGGAAGCTCATGGTCCCTAGACTGACAGCTCGGAAATCAGCATAAGACCTAACCAGGCCTCCTGAATGTGGGTATCAGTTGGGAGGCCTGGGTAGTCTATGGATCCTCTGGTAGTGGAACAGTATTTGTCCCTAGTGTACGAATGGGTTTTGGGAGCCCATTTTCTATGGAGGGATACTTTCTCAACCTAGACACACAGAGGATGGCCTAGGGTCTGCCCCAAATGATGTGACAGACTTTGATTATCCCCCATGGGAGCAGAAGGGGCATAGAATGGAGGGTTATGGGGGGCATGGGAGGATGAGAGGGAGAGGGAACTGGGATTAATATGTAAAATAAGACTGTTTCTAATTTAAATAAAAAAGAAAAGAAAAGTAAGAAGACAGCATCAACATGGAGGCTGGAACTACACTCCTGTTATCACCCCGCACAAAAAATGTTCTCCAAATGGGCGTGAACCTCAGTGGAAGACTTGAAACTATGAACGTGCTAGATGAAAAAGTAGAGAGAAATGCATCAGGCACAGACACAGGCTTCTTGAATATCTGGCCTTGGACCACCCAAAGAGAAGACCAACAACCAACAACAGGAACTCATAGAAGAAGAGGCCTATAGAATGGGAGAAAAGAATTTTTCCCAGCTACACACCTGCAGAAAATTAATATATAGACCTTAC